GGTAGAGTTGGCTGTAGCTTTCAAAACTTCAGATGAGTTGTAAATGTCTTTTTGCTGTTTGTAAAATTGAATGGCATTCTCCCAACAAGGCAGCTTAGAAAACAGTGCATGCATTCTTTAGGATAGGTGTGAACTTACCCATGTGTTACCTGGAATTGCCTCCTGCCCAAAGTAAAGGAGACCCAGAGATCTCTGAACCCTACCCGCTGCAATGTCTGTTTCTTTCCATTTCAGAGAGAGAGAGAGGATGAGTCTCTGATCAGCTTCTTTGTAGTTCTGAGGCTAGAAATACGGATATAAAAGCAGTTATATTCATTCTTTTTTTTTTTTTTTTAATTAGGGTATATTTATGTTCTCCAGTTTCTCTCAAAAGATTTTACCTTCGAAGTGCATGAATAGTTTTCCCTGCTGTGCTCTGAAACACAAGGACTTCCAGAGCTGAAGACAGTCAGCGCTTCCACCACCACAGAGCATTTTATATCTTCCTATGCAGCATCCCTGGCTGAGCCTGGGTCTGAGGGCAAGGGAGAGCAGGGAAATTGAAAGGGGGCAAAGGAAAAGATATGTCTAGTTACCCAACTGGCTAAGTGCTCTTCTTGCTCTGCACCAGCCAAAGGTGTCTCCTCCCTCTGGCAATGAAGCCATGCTGTTCTCCAACTCTCAGACCAGGCCCTGGGCTGGAGTGCTTTCAGAGGACTGGCACTGAGGAAGGACTTCCAGAGGAAACACTGGTCTGTGCTTCTCCTTCCCTTACTAACCAGCTCCCTTATAGCTGACTATCATTTTACCCAGAACAAAAAACAATTCAGAGGGAAACATGTCTTAAAACTACAAGGTGACTGTTCCTAACTCTTGCCTTCTCAGCTGATATTTCAGTCTCCCACAGAGGGATCTGGCAAGTCTATGCATCCTATAGATTGCACAGGTTTGCGTTGTGCCTCTGTTTCATCCGCTTTCAAATACAGTTGACTCTTGCTGCTTGGGGAATGGCCCTTGAATCCGGCACAGACTTTTGATCTGCCTTCATGTAGGATAAGTCACTTTGTAACTGCTCACACTAATTAACTCACAGCATCAAAAAATAACCATATATCAAATCTGTGAGGAAAGGAACAGGCATGCTGAACACCTCCCCAACATTAATGCTTTTTGATGTAAAACAAGATGGTATGATATTTATCAGCACAGTTTCAGTGTCCAGTAAAGAGGTTGCCGGGATCCCTACTCTGAGTATTCAGCCATTGTTCCACTTCACTGAGCGATATGGCTGGGGGAAAGGGAGCCGTAACAGCAGGCAGTCACCAACAGGGATGTAAGAAAGGAATTTGGGTTTGTTTCCTTTCCTGTACTTTGCCAGCCAGCCAGCTTTGGAATATGAGTGCCATTTAACCTCTAAATAGAAACCAGGTTGTGTTTAACTGCTGTGTTAGTTTATTGTGCTATCTGGTTTCCAGGGGAGTGGGTGAAAGGCAGAAGGGAGACGAAGAACTTTCTGTATCACATACCTTCAGTAACGTCATAAGTCCTATGTGAAAGACCTGGTGCTCTGAGAATATAAAAGGATCATGCTACTTTCAGAGTGACTCACAGTCCAATCTGTTCCTTTCTGCAGGGAAACAGCTTACAGAGCTGTGGCTCATCATGGTACAAAGCACTGCTTCCTCCTACTGATACAGAATACTCCTAATTTTGAGACTCTTCCTCCTTTCTACTCAATTAACCAGTCAATGCTTCTGTTCCCATCTCTCCACTTGGGGACTGAAGGTCACACCGAGTCCTTCACTAAGATTCAGCAGAAGGACTAAGCAGGATCCAAATGGGGCACAAACATGAGAAATTTCCAGTAGGAGTTGCAAGGCAAGGCAAGGCAGAGTTTGGTTGTCCATCTCTGGAACTAACTGCTGATCAGAGTCCTAAAGCCTCCAGTGTTGTGTTAAATTGCATGTGGCATGTGGGGATGTAGCATTCAACAGTGAGAACTCTGCTTATCTTTTCTGGCAGACTGGGAACATGCTCGTCCCGCTGCGCTTATGCTGAAGCTTGTACCATGCAAAGTGAGACAGAAAATCAGAAGTCGAGAACCCACTGACCTACACGTCACCGGTGCTCTGTGTGGAGTGTACTCTCCATCCTGCATCATGCCACCCTCTACCTCCAAATCCACTGGGACATGTGGTAAGAAAAGACACCTCTGGCTGTAATGAGGAAACTCCTTCAAATGTAGGATGGAATCCATCGGCCTCTGTTTGGCTGTGCTTCAGTGGGACTGTCTAATGTGGCTCTGGCCCTCCTGTCCAGGAGAAGAAACTGAATCAGTGCATCACTTAATGAAAGCAAAGGTATACACTAGCTAATAAGAAAGATATAACTGTTCTGTAGAAATCCTTTCCAACTGCAATACTGATTTAAGAAACACACCTGAATAAAGAGGTTTTGCACTAGAGAAATATTAACAGAAGTGGCAGCACAGGGAAATACCAGAGAAATTTAAGCTGCCTGTGTTTTGGATTGTTGGTGTTGGTAGTTACGGTACAAACCAGCCAAATCACTAGTACGCCCATGCACGATGAACAGCATTGTTTGCCACTATGCGGAATACACAAGTGGTGCTAGTATGCCAAGCCATAAAACTGAACACAACAAGAAGCACTCATTTCAAGGAGGAGCTTCGATTCCTAATGCAGCAGGTGTTCAGAGGTTCTGTTTTGCTCTTTCACCCAAGAAATCTAAACTGGGGTCAAAAGTTAGGCAAGAGCTGTTTGCAATGCCAAGCTCATAGAGTCAACCTGACACCTAACAAAAAAATCTCTCTATAAAAAAAATACAGGTGCTTTTCTCCAATGCTGCATGCTATTGTGTTGCTCAGTGTTTGGAGGTATGGATTATCGTATGTCATACTGCTCTCTAAGTAGCTGCGTTTACACCCCAATAGACCACTTGGACAGCCAACTTCCCAGCCATGTATGAATCCAGCTTGGAGGTTTGGTCACAGAAATAAGCCAGTAGCTCTTATGTGCACCCTCTTTGCAGCAATAACCTCTTTCTCTGGTAGCATGAGGTCAGGGAGTTGTGCCTAAAACTTCTAGCCACTGACAGCGGCCATGTGGTATCCTGTCTGAAAGAGGTGTTAATGACATCAGCAGGGAGCTTTCTTTGTGGGAGACCGGGAACAGTGGGACAGCTGTGGGCAGAGATGAGTTTTGCCTCACCACTGAGGCTGGGACAAATGGTCTAGACCTCAGTTAAGGGAAGAGAGACAACTTCTAGCTACCAGTCTCCTTCCCACCACATTTCTCTGACTGTGACCTGTGCAAACCACGCCCAGGCAGCCAGATACTGACCTTCCATGGACTCCGGTCTGACCAGCTCATGTGTACAGAAATGCTGCGCTCAAAGGGCCTCTTCCAGGTGTGAGGTTCCTGAGCTAAATGGAAGGCAAAGGAATGAGAAGAAACCCCTTGAATAGCTTAATGAATCTGTTTGTCATCCACCTGAATTATATGCTTCCCTTTTACACATTTTTTTCTTTTGGTGAAACTCAAAAAAAAAAGGCCTGAGCACATCCTAGCATGAAAGAACAGACCACTGTCTCATACTTTGTGATTCCAGGTAAGCATATCCTTTACAAAAAGCTGGTATAAATGCTTTACAAAACTAGCAGCCCCGATGCATTTAGAAGTGGAGGAAAATGTTACACAAAGGGGGATTTACTCATGTCAAAAACTATCAGACTAGAACCGCTGTGGGACCTACATACCATCTGGGCAGATGCTCTTTCTTGTGCACACTATCTTTCCTTGTCCATTCCTAAAGATATTAAGAATTGCAGAATAACTTATGTGTATGCTAATTTACTTCCTTGGGCTATCTTCTCTTTGCCTGCTATTTAAAGACACCCATTAGTTTTGCAGCAGTACGCAGTCTGGGCTGCTTTCCTCTGGATTGTTTGTCACGACTCCTGCTAGAGAGCCAAAGGAGGACAGATGTTCTCTGTTGGAGGTATCAGTGCTCGGACACCTAAGCAGCATCTTAGTCACAGGGAGAACATGTTTTCTTAGCAGACAATACCAGGTCTGCAGAAAACCTGTTCTTGCTTCTTGTCACCAGATGGTGCTCCAGTGCTGGAAAAGTGCTGCCTCAGCCGCCTGCTGAAGCACCATGTTCTCCTGAAGCTTTGGGCTGCCTGTTCTCCTACCAGATCAATTTCATTAATCTGATTTGCACTTCTGATTGCCTCTGGCTCGGGCCCTTCTTTGGCAAGGGTGAGTGAGCCCTCAGCCTGCTTCTCAGGAGCAGTTTTCTTATTGAATTGGTTAGCTCATAGGATTTGTCCAGAATGGTGGGTAGTGTGGCTGTCACCTCTTGTATTACTGCCACAACGGGCATTTCTAATTGGATCTGGCCATGCTTCAGGCCTCTTCTTCTCACCAGATTTCTTTTTTGAGCATGGCATGCTCCTGTCATGATTAGTTGCCTCTTTAGCAAAGATACCAAAGCCTTCTCCTGACCTGGAGTTTTGTTCAAGCACCTCCAGCTAGCCTGAAGACCAACTGGGCAGACAACGTTTGACATGCTTGGAGTGACTGCCTTCAGGATGCTTTTATTCCCATGTGGAAGGTTTGAACCTGGGGGGAAATCAAGCAATTTCCCATCACTGTCATTCCCCGCACAGCACACAAGCCTGAGGGAAGATCAGTCGGATGAACTCAGACCTGAAAATGGGAGAACTCTGCATGGGAAGTTCAAAGGTTCCTGATACCCTGGGTTTCCTCTGAACCCCACTGGGTATCCTCTGGGCTGGGGGATATTTTTTGTCACAGTGGAAAAAGTGCTGCCCTGTTCCTGGGGTGGTCCCACAGAATATTGCAATATGCTTTGCTGAGAAAAGAATGAAGTTTTGAGATAATCTGTTTCCTGATCCCAAGAGTTTCCCAGTTGGGTGATGCTCTGCCCATTAGAATAATATGGATTATTTCCCAAAGGCTTAGGAATGGGCATGCCATAGGATGGAAAATGATCCTCCGGGGCCAATGGAATAACCTCATCATAGACAACATTCTCCCTTTGGTTTGACGGGTTGTCTGTTGTGCATTGGAAATAGACCTTCTGCCTAGGTGGATTATTAGGGACATATTGGGGGTTTTCATACTGTCTAGCTGGGCTAAGCTCAGGATCTGATGAGAACTGTCTGGGCATCCATGCTGTTTGCCCAGAGAAGGAGTCAGGTCCAACTGAACTGACTGGGTCATTTTCACAAAAGAGGTTCCCCTGCCTCTGACTCAAATCAGGAGGATAGGAGGGTTTTCTGCACAGCCCTCCTGGGCTTAGAAGAGGAACGCTGTCCTATGCATTGCCTCTTGGATAAAGTACATTTTCCCTCTGAACATAAGGATCTCTCTCTGGATAGTGACTAAGTGAGGGGCTCAATGAATGCAGTAGGGTCTCCTGCCATGGTGCCCACCCCACTATGAAACATGTGGTATTCTGCTGGTTACCCTGTGCTGCGCATCCCGGAGAAGGAAGGTGTTGCCTTTCAGAGTACAAAGGGCTGGTGTCTGGGTTGTCCCAGTCATGCAGACAAGTTTCCGCCTCAGATGGACGGCTCCTGGTATTTAGCAACAACCCTTTGTGGCTTAGTGGCCAGGCTGCCTGCATCCTGGAATTGGAAGACCCACCAAAATTTTCCCTTGGGAGGTGTACGATTTCCTTTTACTCTCTGAGTTTCAAATGAGGGCCTGGTGAATTGTTTTTGGGAGCGTAGCTGCTTTCCTTGTGGCCGGCGTTATTGCCTCTGTAGGACAACATGCTTTCCCAGTGGCCATCAGGAAAAGAGTTTCTGTCTTTCTGGCCTGGTGGTTTCTCCTCTGACTGCTGAAATCTCCCTTCCCACTCAGCTGTAGCTGCTCTCTGGGGACAGGGGGATGCTGCTTCTGTTGTGGAGGCTTCTTCCTGGTCTGGATGAATGGAGGGAACTTTCTCTATTCCTTCCAGCTTTATGATATGTTAAGATTTGTGGGTGCCTTAATAGATTATTGAGACATGCTTTTCCTTGCACCTTCTTGATGGGGCTGGCTTCTGTAGCCACAGGAGTACTCTCTGTGGCCAGGCACGTAATGCCTGAAGGTTTCTCTGCCTACAGGAAAGCCGTGGGCAGTTTCAAGATTGGGACTGTTGCTCCAGAGAACAGCATGGCCAGGTAGTGCTGCAGCCTTGACAGGCTCCTCTTGCATGGAGACATTTGCTGTAGGAGACGGAGCCATCAGGCTCTTAACAGGCAGCTTGCTCATGCTCTGGGGATCAACCTCAGGCTGGGTGGTGGTCGCCTCTAGGTGTCTTCCAGGAATGGGGACATCGGCTGTGCTTAAGGTAGTGGTAGGGATGGAGGCATTTGTACAAGGATCTGACACAGGGGTTTCTGCTCCTGGAGCCTCTTTCTCAGCCTTGGGTGGATTGTATTCATTTTGAAACTTTTCTTCAGAATAATACGGGGGCCTTTAAAAAACATATCCAAAATGAAGGTTCTGGTAGGGGAAAGAAAAGAACAACAAGACATTTGCAACGACAGAGTTGTAACACTTTTTCCCACTGCTCCTTTTGCATTCATGTTTCAGATATGTTTTAGCTACGGATGACTGTAACTTTACTGGGCAGAGGTTCTGCATGGCCCTTGGGGGAGACCCTGCACCTGGCATCTGTTATCACAGCAGTGGACAAATCAGAAAGCTGCTGTGAGGACACAGAGGCAGAGGTGGGCAAGTACTGCAGGGAGGCGCAGGTATGCTGGTGCCAGGGAGCCTAGTGCCAGGAAGCAAAATAGTCACGATGCATGTCTGCAGAGCTTTGTGTGCCAAATAAGCCAGCTCCTGAGCTAGAAGCATGAAGCGATGTCAAAACTACAGCCTGTAAAGCCAGAACCTCTACTAGCACAGCCAGGCTGCTTCTGAGGTCCCAGAGGAAATCTTGGTAGGCTACCCCATAGGCACACCAGTTCATTGAGAACACGCTGAATGGAGCCAGCTGTGTTTTGACCAGAGAGCAGCTGAAGTCCTTTGCCTCCTACTTGAGAACAATAGAAACTCACTCCACCCAATCTGGGAACAATAAAGAGATTTCCACACCCCAGCCCTGTTCAGTACAAGGGAAATCTCCCCACATATGCTGAGAGCAATGGAAGCAGCCCGGTCCCAAAGAGTCTGGGAAACCTGTCTTTTAAGCTCAAGTATCTTGGCAAATGACATCATCAAAAGTTCGGCACCCGGATTTGGCTCCCGTGCTCTTCCTGTCTTGCTGCCTCACAGTCGGCATTGAACTAGCTGGCCAAGTCATAGTATACAACCGAAAATAAAATGTACCTCTCTATTGTGCCTCATGTTTTCAAGACTATGCTGTCTTAGCTACATGTGGTTACCTAATAAGGAAGGCAGAATTGACTCAATCCTCTTCTGATGCAACTAAATAAGAATCCAAGGAGATGACTTCATAGGCTTGAAGTCACACAATAAAAATTCAAATGTTACTCTCCAGCCTAGACAACCCTTGGTTGATGAATAGCCTGAACTCCAGGATTTTAATAAACTAACAGGGTTCTCTGTGGAAAATTGGGAGCACTGGAATATGGAGGTCATTCATGGAAGCTGAAATTTCACATAATTGCCTGGCTCTAAGAACAGGGATTTTACAGAACAGCTTCCATCTGAAGTTACATGGTAAAACTGATCACTGGCAACATTGCAGAGGCTGTGGGTTGACACACAGAGCAAATAACAAATGTAATTCGTGTGTGGGACCATGAAAGAAGTCAGCAGGAGATTTTTATGGATCCAGAACGCCACCTGGGTGTGGTGGATTTGAGCTCAGCTTCCCGGACTTGCTCTGAAATGTAACATTTTCACTTCTTAAGGGCTAGAGTCTTCCAAAGTACTGCTATTGCCAAACGGAAAAAGCCACTACAAATACTTACAGGAGAGAAGGGAGTGGTTCTCTTCCCAGCCCCATCTCCCTCCTGCTGTTCCCAGCCACCTTAATCTGATATCATCACTTGACTCCAAAAGCTGGCACTTGAAGGGAAACACCAATCAGGGAAAAACTCCTTGTCACTGCAGAAGAGCTGGTAGCACTATAATGGGGAAAGGAACAGCAAGGCATTGGGGAAAAAGCAAAGAAGAAACAGCTGGAGGAAGAAAAATGAGGAATCCTTGCAACCCCATGAGACTGATGGTATCCCAGGTGAAAAGTCATTCTTTTATGGAGCAGAAAGTCTTTCTAAACCTTCTTCTGAAACACTGCCATTACAAGCTGGAGGTGTCATGGGGTAGTAAAGCAGCTGCAGGCTTGCCGTACCCTTTTCTACCACCTTCTGCATAGAGGGATTCTGCAGCCTTACTGTACTCACCCTCCTTCCTCATTGCTGATGGGCAGCTCTCCAAACTGTGGAGGCATTTGCTGGGGAACGAGAAAGACAATGCTCTGAGGACACTAGCACTGAAGAGGTTATCACAGTCCCTGTACAACACCCAGGCCGTAAATGTCAGGTCATCAGCTTCTACCAAATGAAATATAACACCTCCTGTTTATGCATCCTCTTCCATCTAGGACACAAGTGACTCAGGAGCAACCACCAAACCTCCATCCTAAGTCTGCAGCCAGTAGTGCACAGGAGACTTTTGCGCTTGGAAGACTTGAGAAGTTTGTGGGTGCGTTATCGGAGAGGAATGTGTCTGTTGGCATTAAGTGGTGTCAGGCCATCATGCAAAAAAAACAGCCCGTGGGAGAAAGTGCAGAGCTGATACTTGGCCTCCACACAATTGCTGCAGCCCTGTGCAACAGCTTGAGGTGCTGTAATTCAAAATTGTCTCTTAAACAGGTGGAAAAGCCTGCCTGGTGCTTAGAAGGTACGCTCTGGTCCTGATGGGATGCAGAGGCTGAGAATGGTGTTTCCTCCTTCCCATCACAAAGGTGATGGGAGGTGCATGGGAGGTACCTTGTTCCAGACCAAAAGCAGACTTCTCGGAGACCTCTCCATGATTCAGGAGCACAAGTTCTGCTAAATGCTGGAGGAAATAAGTTCTTCCACCACTTCCATTAACCTCAGAAACCCAAATTCAACAATGTCTTTCAAGGAGGAAGAACTATGCTCCTCTGGAGCATACTGCATCCAGGGGAAGATGCACCAGGAATAACCCTGAGAATTCAAGGAGTCTTGGACAGGGACCTCTGAGTTAACTCCTTGTCTGGGGAAATGGTTCAGGGTAATTGGCTAGAGAGATACCTGTCTCAAGGTCAGGTTTTTGGAGACAGAATTCATTATCACTTGACACCTCTTTGGTAGACTCTTTGAGAGGACCTGGCAGCTCTGTTCCCAAGTCCTTGTGAACAATTACCTGTATCACCAGAAGCCACTCTCTTACTCAACTGACAGTAGTAGACAAGCCCAATGACTCAGCAAGGGTTGTAGAGGTTAAATTAGCCCCTAGATGGTTTTACTTTGAACTCTGGCTGTTTTCAGTACTAATAGAATTGCTTTTAAAAGAAAACCTCTTACAGTGTTCAGCTGTGGCAGGAAGCCTCGTTAGTTGTAAACCTGTGTGCACAAAAAGAAATGGACCAGCCATATGCATGAAGGATTGCTGACAGGCAAATTGCAGGGACTGCTCCCGGTACCCCACACTCGTTTTACAAAGAGATCAAGCTAGTTCCTGCCATGAAATACTGGGGAGCATTTGCTGTTAGAGTCACTACCCCCTTTTCTCCACACCTGTTATGCTCCCGAGATGGGGAGCTCACCTGCAGAAAGGGCCATGGCGGCTGCTAAAATAGCAATTGTGCGTTGCCATAAGGAATATACACCTGCAAGGGAGAGGAGGCCACCTGACGCCACAGGATTCATGCCATGTCAAAACATAGTAAGACCTAGCACAAAAAGGGGACTGTAGTCTGATGTGTGCCAGACTCATGGAAGGACTCATAACCTCACTTTGCTTGCCTGTCTTGTCACTGCACACTAACACAGGTCCTAGCCTTACAGGATCTGTATCCCATGCGTGCATGCCCTAGACAGGCAACTGCTTAATTGAAATGCTGAATTTGGCTTTGTTCTTTTTGCCCATTAGTTGCTGTCGAGGTTATGCACAACCAGGTTGAAAAGAGTGTAACTTCAGGGAGTTCTTCCTGTAGCTCCGATGTGCTTCTTTTTTCTCTCTAGAGCAATGTGAACACAGCAAAAGGGCACACCTACCCTGGGCCACAAGCGGCCACAAGCAGCCCTCTCCTAGGCCCAACACACGCAGGGGTGCAGCCTCCTGATCTTCCGCTAGAGGGAAATAATGGCTGGAGCTGAGGAAGCACAGCCCAGCGCAGTCTTGGGTCAGCCCGGCTGCATCAGGTCTGGAGCTGCCTTCCAGGCAGGGCATGACCTGAGCCTCTGCGGCCAGGGGAAAAGGATAAAGCTGTCAGTGACAGTATGAGCTGCACCATCCATCCAGCAACATTAGAGGTGAATTAGTCACCAGCAATGCTGAAGAGGCAGAGGTTCTCAACACTTTCTTCACCTCTGTCTTTACCAACACTGTTGGGCCCCAGGCCTTGGGAACAAAAATCCAGGTTCATGCAAACACAGACTCACTGTCAGTGAAGCAAGAGTTGGTATTACAGGAGCTTGACCCCTGCAAACCAATGGGCCCTGACATTGTCCATCCAAGGGTGTTAAGAAAGCTGGCTGACATGGTTGCGAGGCCTCTCTCCATAATCTTTGAGAGATCAGGGGACATCCCTGAAGAAGACTGGAAGAAGGCTAGTGTCACCCCCATCTACAAGAAGGGCTTAAAGGAGGATCCAGGAAATTATAGGGCCATCGGTCTTACTTCAGTCGCTGGGAAAGTTATGGAACAAATCCTCCTGGGGGCTATCACAAGTCAAATGAAGCACATGATTGGGAAAAGCCAGCATGGATTCACCAAGGGCAAATCGTGCTTGACAAACCTGATCACCTTCTATGGCAAAGTAACCTGTTTGGTTGATGTAGAGCAAGCAGTGGACGTTATCTACCTGGATTTCTCCAAGGCTTTCGATATGGTTTCCTACAGTCTCGTCCTTGAGAAACTGATAAATTACAGTCTAGACAAGTGGTCTGTGCAGTGGGTGGGGAGCTGGCTGACAGGCCGCACCCAGAGGGTGGTGGTAAATAGCTCCTTTTAAAACTGGCAACCTGTCACAAGCGGGGTCCCCCAGGGGTCGATACTGGGCCCAACGCTGTTTAATAGCTTCATAAGTGATCTGGATGATGGGATCTAGTGTACCCAGATGAAGTTTGCCGATGATACCAAACTGAGTGGGGAAGTGGACACTTCGGAAGGGGGAAGTGGACACTGCGGAAGGGAGAGCCGCCCTGCAAGAAGAACTGGATAGGCTAGAAGAGTGGGCTAACAAGAACTATATGAAGTTCAACAAGGACAAATATAAGGTCTTGCACCTGGGAAAACACAATCCAGGAGTGCAGCACAGGCTGGCATCTACCTGGCTGGGGAACAGCTTTATGGAAAGGAACCTGGGGGTCCTGGTGGACAACAAGCTCAATATGAGTGAACAGTGTGCTGCTGCTGCGGCAAAGAAAGCCAACAGGATGCTGGGTTGCATCAACAATCGGCATCACTATCAGAGATAAAGAAGTCATTATCCCACTCTACTGTCAGGCCACACCTGGAATACTATGTTCAGTTTTGGTCCCTGCTATGCAAAAAAGATGTGGAAAGGCTGGAGGGGGTCCAGAGAAGAGCCACAAAGGTGAGCAAAGGACTGGGAAGCCTGACATATGAGGAAAGGCTGAGACAACTGGGTTTGTTCAGCTTTAAGAGAAGAAGGCTTAAGGGAGACCTTATCACCATGTTCCAGTATTTAAAGAGTGGCTACAAAGATGGAGACTCCCTTTTTACAAGGAGTCACATGGGAAAGACAAGGGGTAATGGCTACAAGTTACTCCTGGGGAGATTCCCATTGGACACAAGAGGAAAATTTTTCACAATGAGAACAATCAGCCATTGAAATAATCTCCCCAGTGAAATGGTGGATTCCCCAACATTGGACACTTTTAAGATTCAGCTGGAGAGGGTGCTGAGCCATCTTGTCTAGACCGTGCTTTTGCCAAGAAAGGTTGGACCAAATGATCTTTGAGGTCCCTTCCAACCTGGTATTCTATGATTCCATAATTCTATGATAAGGGGTTGCTAAGCCTCTGAAGAGGCCCTCTTCATCCTTGCCTTTGCACCCTGTAAGGACAGCGAAGGGATTTTCCTTCTCACCAGCCCTCCCTCAAGTGCTGGGGACCTCATCTGCTGCTGGAGGGGAAGAAAGAAGTCACTGTCCTTAGCAAGTCTGACCCATCCCTCCACAGAAGACCTGTGCAGCAGCAGAGCTATACATACTCCTCTCATTTGCTGCCACTCCAAACTGCTGGGATGGCTCTGAGGGGTTCTGGTTTCAGTTAAGGGGCATCCAGGAAGCCAGTACACCCTCAGCTCTGTGCCCCATGCCACAGCAGTACCTGCTGCCTTGCCACAGCAGGAGCAGGCAGCATTGGTGCGGAGGCAGCGCTGTGGAGGCTGGAGCGCAGCTGGGAGTGCAGTGGGTCACACACCCCTGCCCCAGGCATGGCTCTGCCTGCCACCCTCTTGCCCAGCTGGCCCAAGGGTCTCCTGTAAGCAGCTTGCAAACTCCTCAGTGAGAAGCCTGTGAGATGCTCTGCTCGCTCCTCTTGGAGACAGTCTGCTAGAGAGCTTGAATTACCTTTCATGGTGTGCCCTCATGGCAGGACGGCCCCACATATTGGGAGTCTGAACTGAGCTTGCTTACCTGAGCTTGCTGCTGCTGGTTCGCCTCTCTGGGCTGCTGCAAGGGGCCTTGGTGGGGAGGCTGGGCAGGCCTTACAGGCTGTGCAGCTTGTGGCTGCTTTGCTGGTTCTTGTTTCTCTGAGATTACCATCTGTTGTTGCTTTCACTGCTGTCTGCTAGGCTGCTGGAGCACTGGGGTTTGGCTTCGTTAGCACTGGACTCCTGCTGGCTCTATTGGCTTTTGCTTTTGCCGCTGGTTGTTTTGCTCCTGCATTCTTACAGCTGGCTGCTAGAAGGGCTGAGTGAAGCTCAACCCATAGCCATATAAGGAAGCCAGATAGGAAATATTTTGAAAATGTCATTTGGTTTATGGTTATTTTGAAACCATTCCATAACATGTCCAACTTGGACATCTTAGTCCACATCTGGTGATATGACCAGACCATAGTATGAAGGGGCTTTTCTGCCTGACTACTCTTAAATTTCAGTGTATGCAGCTTCAAACAGCTCCCACATTGGGGTGGTATCATGACGTTTGCAGTTCTTTAGGGAAAAAGGAACAGCAACGTCCTCTGCCTTCAGGC